GACAGCCTGGATCCCGTTTCTCTGCATGCTGGTGGTAAATCACAGAGACCGGTCCATGGAAATTCTCCCTCCATGTTCACCACCGTGGCAGGTGGAGAATGGGACCACCACAAGATGCTAGAAAGAAGACACAAAAGCAGTCTAGGAGGCAAGTTGTTGGCTCTCAATTTCTACATCAGGAAAATCATAGCTACCTCAAATATCCTAATGATGCATCTTGGCAGTCAGAAGTCAAGATAAAAAGCCAACTGAAATCCCAAGGCAGTTAGGAGAAAGCATAAGGAAGACCAGAGTTGAAATAAGTGGTCACGTGGAGGTTGAAACAAACACCAAAGAAACAAAGATCAAAACAAAGATCCGTTGATTTGAAAGCATGAAGAAGTCTGACAAACCCTTGACCTGCATCCCCCAGGGAGAAGATACAAATTATTGAAATGTGAGACAGGAAATAAAGTATGAAAGAAAGACAAGAAGGATCTATGGGAAACCTGAGTGTTTATGTGATTCAATCTAACTCTAGAGAGGTGATAATCCTGAAGGAAAGAGTTTTTTTGCATCATAAAACAGACACCAACACTGATAAGATGTTATTTAACATGATTACTGCCTGCTGCTTTACCTTTACTACTACATCCTAAGTGTGATGATCAATTCTGGATGTTACAAACCATGTGAAGTGATCACTATAGGGATAAGATGGAAAGAGTAATACACTTTCTGCAAACAAGGACAGCCCAGGACCCACAGATTGCATGATGGATCTTACCTACTGGCCTTATAGTATAATGGAGACCCATTCTCCTCATGCTGCATCACCAAAGATCCAAGATCGATCATTCCAAATTTAGTCTTGAAAGCCAGTATTACCATGAGGCTAAACCCATAACAACACACAATCCCCTCCACACACAGAAATACACACACAGAGAGAGAGAGAGAGAGAGAGAGAGAGAGAGAGAGAGAGAGGGGGGAGAGAGAGAGTTGAGTGTACTCCCATATCCTTTGTGAACATCCACTTTTTCATCTGCTATCAGATTCCTTGGTACTTCACACAAAGTTCAACAACAGATTGAATGACAGATTTGATGTTTCATGTTCACAGTGAGTTTAGCAGGGAATCCTAGCGTAATTCGATGGGGAAAGTATTCGACAACAAGCATGTAAGTAGGTCAAGAGAAGGGGCCTATGCTCAGCCACAAAGAATGAAATTTTGTCATTTTCTGAAGTGGAAATAGACATTAGGAGCATTGTCTGTAATACCCCAGATCCAGAGATACTGTGAGCCTAACCAGAGCCATGGATCAGTAGGTGGAACCTTAATTGAAATGGGGACTTTCGGGGCACATACAAGGGGCAGCTGCAATGTAACAGAGCAGATGAAAATGATCCCAGGTCACTGTATGCATCTATAGAAGTGTTACAGGGGAATTCCTTACTTTACACAGTAAAGGTTTAAGATAAAAAATGAAATGAATGTAAAACATGGCAAATATTTAAACCAAACAGTTAAGCAAAATGAACACATAAGCAGAAATCCATGCCTCAAGCAAAAGCATGAGTGCATGAACCAAAAAGAGAAACAGAACACAATCCAATCAAAACAGAGGAAATCTCCCAATGCAAAGGTGCAAGAGGCTAGGAGTCCAGTTTATCAGGCCCAATGTAGAGGTACAACTGCTCTCCATCCAGCAAGAGTTTCTCTGTAGCATCAAGAAAACCCCAGCCCACTGCAGGGCCTTATATGAGCAAATTTCCATAACTTCTCACAAAGGCTTTTCGTAATGTCACAGTAAGAAATGGACCAGTGACAGCAGGGACTAACCCAAAGATGTTTCTCATTCCAGCTCCAGGGACTGCATAAGTTTTGTCATGGCTGTGAGCAAATCCCCAACAAGATGCAACTTAACAGACAAAGAGTAACCCTACTGGCAGGCTCTCAGAGGACAGGGAGGCAGGGCAGTTGGAGGAGCTGGTGGCTTGGGAAGATGGGTCTGAAGCAGTTGGGTACATGACTTTGGCAGGTCCCTACTGCCTCTAGTCTCCCAATTACTCCTGCTGCTTTCTACTGCTCTAGGCTGTTATGACCTCCCTTAACTGCACTTCCCTGCTAGAGCCCAAGCATTCAGACACATGAGAAGGTGTGAGACCATTCATATCAAGCCTTGAGGAGGACACTTTGACTTTAAGAACATAGGAACTCGGCAACACAGTAACACGGTAACAAGTGCCATAGTAACAAGGTGGGCAGACTCAGGAACTCTGTGCTGACCTGGGTTAGGGACAGGGTTATGGACTAGTTAGAGAATCAACCTATGGTCTGTCGTAATGCCTTTGCATTAGTACCTTAAAGTTCTCTAAGAACAGTCTGTTAGAATTCTGCCCTTACACCAGTTAGATGACTGCACACACATAGTTCAGGAGTTAAGCAAAGGGTCATCAGTGTGCACTGGTGATCACGTATGTGTGGTGTGGTCACACAATCTGTGCCTTAATCCACGCAGTAACCAGTACCACAACCAGTGCCATTTATCATTCATTTCAGTCATTATCTCCACACTTAAGATATTCAATTCCTTTATCTTAAACTCATATAGATGGTCATCAAAAGGATGGTAGCCCTCCCTGATACTCTGATGCTGTAATGAAATGGACTGTACCTCATGATATACATGTTTTGGGTCCTTTTTGTAATGTTGGGGTGGGGCATAGCAAGTGTGGAAGATAGCTACCATGACAGAAGGGTATTTAAGTTCATCAAAGCTTGCCGGAGATAACAGCTCAGGTAGATGTAATCAAACTGCATATGGCGATGAAATTTCTTAAATTCTACAGCTTTTCCGTATAAATAAAACTTCTAAAACACGTAAAATTAAATTTGAAAATATCAAAGAATCATGCTTAATAACAGATATATGGGACTAACAAAAAGAAACTGAATTCAAAGTACAAATTAACTTAAGAACCAATTAAGAGATGTAAATCAAAATCAACAAACCAGAAAACAAACTCACTGTTTGGACGTCAAAGCAGATGAAGAGTGTCTGTTTTTAGGAGAACAATAGTATCAAAGGTTATGTGAACCAATGTCTGAGTCAACAACTCTACAGCCAACCAAGCAACAGCTTCTCTTCAGTGTGAGAAGGCCCAGCCCCAGCCAGTGCCTTATATGGGCAGAGTCTTCAACTCCTCACAAGGGCTTTGTGATGTCAGAGGAGGAAATGAACCAATCACAGCTCTTCACAACCAAAAAAAAAAAAAAAAAAAAAACCAGAAATTCTTCACCTTGTGTCTCCAAGGACATTTGTTTTCTCACTGCCCTGATCAATTCCCTGAGAGGCAGCAACATGTGGTACCCAGGTTTTGCTTTGGCTCAGGCTCTCAGAGGACAGGGACAGACATATCTGGGGACTTGGTTAGAGACATAGTTAAGGATGAGATAGAGAGTGGACACACAGGCTTCTTCAAAGTCCTTTTTACTCACACCCTCAAAATCTCTAATGACTCCAACTACTGCAGACCTCTTCATCTCTATACTCATGATAATTGCTTTTCCTTAAACTCATATTTATGGGCACCAAAAGGATGATAGCCTGTCCATGACACTGTGAGGCCTTGAAATTGTCCCTCAAGATTCCCCAGAGCATGT